TATCCACTTTGGAGGCAGCAAAGTCACTCAGCCTATCTCTACGCAACACTTTAGGTTCTGAAGAAAACCGCCAAAGTACTCCGCTGCTCACAAAATCTAGTTTGACGCTTGGCTTTAGAGAGAAGGACCCAGAGGTAATGGCAGTCTTACGTGATCTAAGAGCAGCTGGAGTCGACTGTCTCACTATAGGCCAATACATTCAGCCAACCAATCGACATCTAAAGGTGAGACGTATCCTAGTAGACCTAGTTTGAAAGCAAATTATTTACTTTGTATCAAATACTCGAATTCTGTCAGAAGATTCTTTTTTATTAGGCGAAATCTCTCTTACTTGCTGATAGCCTAAATAAAACGAGTTTTTGAGGTAGATTTGGATGTGCTTGCGGACTGTTTACTCCTTTTACTCCGCATAATAGACATACTTCGCTATTTATCCCGTTCTCTTTTATTATGAGATGTTGTGACAGTCAGAATTTGGATTAGAACCATTCACGAGAGGCTTATAAACTGGAAACTTTGATGTCTTGTCTCAAGTAAGGGAAAATTTACGTTGGCACGTGGAATAAGACATTAATTAAGTTATTTTGAATTTCCATTTGCCTATAGCACTCGCCAACCGTTGTCACCGTCAAATCCAACCTTCTTATTCTTAGCATGCTTCTGTATATTAAGCAATTATGCCTGATTGTTGTAGGGGATACGGGTCGAAGCAACCGTTTGAAATGCGTGGACTTCTTCGAATAATCAAGTCTTTCGCAGACAAAGCTGATGGAAACGAAAAATAAGGCTCGTCCGACTTCCAAATAAGTGAATTGCATCAGATAAGGACCTTGTACTTTCTCAAACGCTCTCCAGTTTTTACATAATTGCCGGTCTGTCACTGGACTAGTTACACGCAAATGACCAGTTTGTTTAAAGATATCCCATTGGTAAACGTACCGGTCTTACATGTAAATACTAAGGCCGATATGTAGAAAAACTGGGTTTCGAAGAATCCCTTAATAGATTCATGTTGAAGTACCTTTAGTTTCGCTTGAAGAGTCGGGTGGAAAGGATTTGTAAATTGTTTCCACCGGAGGCTGTAGGGTGGTTGTCTTGGAGCTGTGGTTGTAAATTTGTGCGAATTGGTCCTCGGCGCACCGCCTTTCGACCTCGATGAATCCTTGCTGAGCTCTCGTCCGCCATGTGACGGACATCGTCAGGGCAGGACATTATCCTTAACGATAATTCACCAAAAACAAAAAAGGTGGCCAGATTCAAACCTACTTTCTTTTTATATTCTAATTTGGTCCACTTATGCATATCATGTTTTGGTTGGATGTCCTATGGCTTGCCTCTACATTTGCTCATAAGTCAAGTTAAGTGGCTGCGGATGACGTGTGAAGTGGCTACAGATGAAGCGTGAAATGGTCGCAATTGAAACCGAACAGCTGCATCTTCCCATAAAACACTTATGCCTTTGCTTCTGAAATGTTGCCGCATGTGATTGCGTCCCATTGCACACGCGTTGTGTGAGTGCACTGCTCCTGAAATGAGTGTGATGCGAGAGTGAAAACCCAATTCTTGCCTAATTAAGGCTCTTTTTGATCAGTAGTACTTATCGTTTGCCCCTCTCTCTCCAAACCTACCCAACAGCAACAAGTAGTTTCCGCTTAACTTCTTTCACCCAATCCTTCTATTCAGAGTTCTGGCTGTTTTGTTGATTTCTATTGCCTCTAATCTTTCGCCTACTTCTATACTCTTCATATCCAGCTAAGCGTTTGGCATTCGACCAATCTATCTGGTGTCCTGTGCGAGCCATGTGTTTGGCTAATTCCGATTTTGAGACCCACATACCCTTGCAGGCTGTTTTGTGTTCAGATAACCTCTTATGTACGTGTCTACAGATCTTTCCCATATGGGCACTAGCACATGAACACAAGATCTTGTAGCACCTCGATCTGGAGAGCGGGTCAGAGTGTTCTCAAAAAGAAGGCAATACCGAGGACAGTGATCTTTTTTCTTTATTAATGGTTCTGATGCCCCACTTCCTTAGTAATTCGCCTATATTCTTCGACATATTACACAACTGCAGCATAATGATCCTGGTAGAATGATCTATCTTTTTATCTAGTCACAAATATGTATTTACCCTCATTCTATTTGACAATATTCTAAAAGAGTTGTCAAACAACCTTCCTGGATAATTATTCTCAACCAGAATTCGCTTTAGTCTCCTCAGTTCCTGGACCCGACGTTTAACATCTGCCAGATGCAGGCTTCTTATTACACAATTCATCTGTAGCCACTTCACATGCCATCT